TAACCGACGCGAACCTTCAAGTAAACCCTGCAGAAGGCATCGCAGGCAGAGCTCCCGCAGCGGCCGGAAGAGGATCTGGCCGAAGAGGCAGAGGCGGCCGAGGAGTCGCAGGAGTTTCCTTGAGGAGGGAGAGGAGGCCGCCGTGGAGGAGGAGGAAGTGCCCATTGAAGCTGAGGATGAGTGGCTCGAGGTTTCTGACTCCGAGTCCCAAGAGGACGACATATGGCTGCTTCCGCCCGTGGCGTGCCCAGCGCGGTCTCCGTGTCCGGAAAGCCAGCCGCAGTGGAGTGTCTCCTCTCTTGAGGAGGGGCCATCCATGCTCGTGCAGGCCGCAGTCAGCTTGGGCAAGCACGAGCATGAGGGCCGCGGCGGGTCCCAAACCTCGCAGAGTACGCCCGCTGCTTGGGCATGGACCCGGTCACGAACCACGGGGGCTATGCCCTGCATCATGATCTTCTCGACACCGGTGCCCCTGCCACCCCGAATTCATCGGAAGGACTATCCCGAACCCGTGGGGGCGCATGTGCATTGAAGCGCAAGGCGCAGGTAGTGGTCGAGATTGAGACCGGCTCTTCGGGGACTACGAAAACATCCGATACCTTCCGCGCCCCCTCGTCGACGGCCAGGCCACCAGCGAGGGGACGACTGTAAATGTGCCGGAGAAGGACGGTGTGGAGCACGAGACGCAGCCGACAGACCCGAAGGAAGGAGATGAAACAAACCTCATGTCGCTGCCGGAGGTCTTGGCGGTAGCGCTGCATGTGGCAACACATTACATGCTATGGAGTTTATGTCCCCCACCATGCTCATGGCACGAGACCAGTTGGGCAGACTGCGCAGAGAGGGATGGACGAAACAACAAGAGGCCAGTGCAGTCTACGTGCTTTTCCAAAGGCGACAACACCGATACATGGCGGAGTTCCCGACTTACCTTGCAGACATGGACCTCGACCTGGACATCCAACTGACACCTTCGTGCCTGCCGACCCCACCACCCGTGTTGGAGTGGATTGAAGCCGAACTTTGGGATCGCTTCATTGATTAGTATGAGTCGGGAATCGGGGCGGAAACGGACTCTCTCAGGACACTACGTGGACGCCCTACTATGACACAACAAAACATGGAAAGATGGAGGCAATGGGCAGCCCCTGCAGCCAGCTCGAACACGGCGACACTAGGGCGTGATAGAAGCCGATGCCCACGCAGCTGTACCCGTCCTTCGACTTCAAGGCACCAGAGGAGAATGACGATGCCGGAGGGGATATCCTCTCCTTAATGCACCAATAAGGGTGACCCCGGGCCTCTGCCCCCTGCGATGAACATGATAAAAGCCACAGGGAGATGGTTCCGTATCTTTGGCCTTCGTAGACCAGGGGAAGAGACTGAGGACCCAAGCAACGCGCTGACACGACAAGCACAGGTGGATGCCCGACGACTCTTGCGGGAGATGACAGAAGCCGATCTGATGATGATGAACAGGGCCCTGATGAGGTTGATGGGAATGCTCTTTATTGAGGCGGCGCACATGCGGATTAGGGTTCACGACGACAGGATGAAGGCTGATGAGATGGTGGGGGTTGACGTCGATGAAGAAGATGAAGAGGAGAGCATCTACATGCAGCAGGCCCTACGTCTTCATCCCGGAGTCAGCTGGGAAACGACCCTACAGGAGCTCGTCAACATCGGCGATGAAGACGACAAAGGGTACTACAATGCCATGGTGGGCCTTGAACGGCGAATCTTGCGAAGTCTCTACCTGCAGATATCTCCTACGTGCAGCTCTAGTGGCGGTCACCGGGGGTGACCCGGTGCGACACTGAGGAAAACGTTCGTGGAGCGGTGGTGGGAGAGGCTCAAGACATACAGGGACCTGGGCCACAGCGACAGTGGGGCACGTGCGAGCCAAAATCATGGGCATGATGCAGTGGAGGTTGAAAACTGGGAGCAGGAGAGTCGTGAGCTAGAGGCGGAAGAAGCTCAACATCGCGCTGAACAACGTCAACGAGAACAAGACGAACTGGTGCAGAATGCCCGCGATCAAGAGCTATACGAATCACATCGTGCTTCCACCTATCGAGATTGGGAACACTGGGTGGTCCTCAACACGCCCAAGCCGAAACGTCGACGACTGGTCTTGACGAGTCGATCTACACATGGAGGCAATGGCGTGAACGGCGAGATGGTTGAAGTGGCCTCGCTACCCGTTCCGAACGATCTTCGCAACTTCCAGGTAACGATGCACGTGGACATGGTGGAAGAGACAAGCGCAGTGCCGGGAGGAGCCTTGCAGCCCACAGCAGCGGGGCCAGGGATGGAACCACATGGAGACTTCTATGAGAAGCTGAACCGTGCTTGGCGAGAAGGGCACATCACGGACGACGGGGTCAAGATGCTTTTTGGGGGCGACTGGCTCTTCCTCTTTCAGGTCACCAGGGATGGGCTGGAGGGTGATACTCTACTGGCGGTTGCTGAGGCTGCTGCCGGAGCAGTGGGAACGACAAGGGGTCCAGGGAACACAACTTGATGGAGATGGAGGGAGTGAGGTACGTCAATGGCCCTTTCAGCTTCCTGGTGGTGACGCTCATCTAGATTTGGATGGCACGACAGATGATTGATGTGAGGGCTGTTCCATGGAGATGGTTGTGGCTTGCTGACGGGCGTCTTCTGAGAGACCTTGTAATATGTGTCCCGGTAGCCTGCCCAACATGGGCTTCGAAGCGCAAGTAACGAAAAAAACCCTCAAACACAAAAACTCTACACCCTAAACCCTAACTCTCCTAATCCCCTAAACCCCTAAACCCCAAAACCTGAACTCTAACTCTCCTAAACCCCTAAACCCTTTATAGCAACTCCCGCGCATGCCCGGTAGGATCCTTCCACTTGTGTGGCTTCCTGCACGGCCTTCTGTAGGCCACCTTGACGGGAGAGAGCCGGGGATTCAGGTTTTACGGTTTAGGGTTTAGGGTGGCTTTTTACGGGTTTGGGCTGTAGGGTAGGAAGTAAGGGTTTTAAAGTTTAGGGAGGTTTTGGGCAAGGTTTTGGGTGGAGATTATACTATAGACTACCCATATGCATGAACTGTAAGGGGATGCTATTTCTTGTTATTCTGGTTCCCTTTGGGTTGCGGGTTTGGGGTTTTGGATACTCTTAGGATTCAGAATGCGGGTCACGTGCTGGGTTGCTATAATTATAAGGGTTACAACATGTTACTGTATGGGGGTCGGAAGTAAGCGAAGCGCGCCAAGGGTCCTCGTTGAGTTCAAGTTTTGTTTTTGTTTCACGGGTTCCCGTAAAGGGTTCCCTTCTCGGTTGAGTAAGGGTTCCTGTCAGCGTTACTATATTACGGGTTAGGGAATATGAAGGCTTCCTTTAAGCCTGAATGCCAAACCACAACAGACCTAGAGCCTAAATCCTCGCCTTCCAGGATGGTTCAGTGTTCCGGGCGTAGGGTTTAGGGGTTGGGGTTTACGCCATATGGTTCCACCAACATCGCACGCCGAAAGTCCTAATCTGAAGCAAGCGCGCCCCAATCTTGCTCCATTCTCCAATAGCCCCGAACCTCAATTTCATCACAGTCTATGATTTCTAAACTCCTGACTCAAGTTCGTAACATCTCATCGCAACCCTGATTTCCATCCCATTGATGTTCAGCCCAAGCTCCTCGTGAAGGTCTTGTTCGAAGTCCTTCGGGAAAGTTCAACGCCGCCCCCTTTCTGCAAGCCACTACAAGACCGCGATCAAAAAGGCCAGGCACAGTGTAGGGGTTAGGGCTTGTGCGGGCAAGTCTTTCATGAATTCGGCTGCCGGCTGACCGTCGAAAGACTGCTACTCCTCCCAACTCCTCCTCCTACTACTGCTACGACTACTACTACTACTACTACTACTGCTGCTGCTACTGCTACTACTACTGCTACTACTACTACTACTACTACTACTACTACTGCTAGTTACTATAATTGGTACTACGACTGCTACTACTGCCACCACGACCACAACTACGGCGACGACTGCGACTACGACAACGACTGCTACTTCGGCGACAACTACTGGTACCACTACTACCACTTCTACGTAACACTAGGCGTAATATCTTTCGCTTAAAATGATACAGCCGATGACGACAACCACTACCACCTACCGCCAATGGCACCACTGCGACTGCAACTGCTACCAAGTACTACCTATTTGCCACCACCCTGTCGTGAATTGTAGCCGGGCCGTCATTCCCGGCCGTGCCTTTTTCATAGCAGCTCCGAAAGCGCGTAATTACGTTCGAAAACCACCCGCACCCGCAACAGCCCACTGATGCCGGATGACACGATCATGCTCACACCTGCTCATTTTGCCATGGTGTTTCGTGCAGATCAGAGTGTGCTGCGAAAAAATGCACTGATCGGGGCGGATTTGTCACCTTGGCGGGTTCTTACCCGCCTTAAGGAAGAACAGGCACTGAGCCAGAAATCTACATACCTCATGGTTCGACAGTTCAGCAATAAGTGCGCAGGTGCCAAAGCAAGCCGTGCCGACGGAGAGCACAAACACCAGCATTACATATTCGGGCTGCTTTTGATCTTTTCGGTTCAGTCTCCTTTGACCGAAAAGACATATTCAGCAAGCTACACTGCACCCGGAACCCTGCGCATGCACCCGACAAAAACCCTCAAAACCTGAACGGAACCCATGCCGATACCTGACATCCCGAGCATAAGAGGTCGGAAACCCGCGCTAAACCCTAAACCCTAAACCCTGTTCACGGACAGTTGCCTGGGCGCAGCTGCCTGCGGCTCTTGAGAGATCATGTGTCCAGCCGAGTTTCAGGCACGACCCCATCGGGGGGTTCCTTTACTAGGGTTCAGGCTTCAGGGTTAGGGTTTAGGGTTTAGGGTATCAAAGGGTTTCGGAGGCTGTACTAGGGTTAAGGGTTCAGGGTTCAGAGGTGGCTGCAGAAACCAACTTTTGTGTAGGGCCCCTATAAGCTCTCTATTGTAGGGCTTATAATCAGAACTCGGTTCTAGCGGTTTCGGTCCTAAATCCTAAACCCTCAACTCAACCGTCTTCACTCAGGGCGGATCAAGAATGCATAATGTACGGGCCTAGTATATGGGCCTTAATAATTGGAATAGGGGTTTGGGGCCCATTATACTATAATTTTAATAAGGAACCCCCAAATTTGTATAGGTAATTATTTAGACCCCTACAAAAAATGGTTACCAATATTGTTCTGTAAGGGTTCCTCATTGTGAGCAGACCAGGTCCCTATATTAGCCACCTTTGGAAGCATTCTTGGATGGATAAGGGCAGTAGGAATATTCGTAACGACAACAGTTATACTAGCGATAAGCAAGTAGTCACGATGATAGCCATCACAGTACTCACACTCGTAACCAGCAAAACAAATGACAATCATAATAATAACATCAGTACTCAAAAGAGAGGAAAGACTCATAAAGTATGGTGACTGTGTTGGTAGCAACACAGGTCGTAGTATCATATGTATGACGATAACCGCTCTAACAGTTCAACATCACATCAAACATCAGTTTCGAGCACAATGCTTCATTCACCATAGAGCTCGAAAGCTTGCGCCGAGAGAACCTCCAAGAAGCCTTTGAAAAGCCAGGGTTTCACATCGGGCCTAGGGGCCTAGGACCCTAAACCTTAGAGTTTAGGGACCCTTAACTCAGGACTGTCATGCAAAGCTTCTGGTCATCCTTGCTGCCCGTAGGCATCATTGCTGCTTTCATTGCCAAAAGAGCTCATCTTCAGATAGCAAAGGCCGCGCTTTCCTACCTCCTTTGCCCTCAATGCCCCCAGACCCGCGACCTCCTAAAGTAACCACAATCGTAACACCCTAAACCCTAAACCCTAAACCCACTCTCAAGAATCCCTAAACCCTGAACCCTAACCCTAAACCCCAAGCCCTGACCCTAACCCCCTAAACCCTAGACCCGGCACCCTTAACTCAACCCTAGATTCTTGATCCGAAGCCCATTCTATACCCCGGAGACGAACAAACATGATCCTGAACCCTAAACCCTTACCCAAGAAACCCTAAATCCCTAGACCCTGGAATAAAGCTAAACTTTCAAAAGCAGCCCCAAAACATCCGCTAAACTTAATACAAGCATCCTAATCCCTAAACCCCCTTAAAGATGCTCTAAACCAAAGCAGCTACTGAAAGGTTCATGGGACTTAGTAAGCAGGGTTATAACTAAGGGAACTATACTTATAACCCCAATTAAAGGGCTTATAACCTTACTTACTAAGTCCCGTGATCCTCCAAGTAGTTCGTAGACCCCTAAACCCCTAAACCCTAACCCCTAAACCCCTAAACCCTAAACCCTAAACCCTAAACCCTAAACCCTAAACCCTAAATCTCCTAAACCCTAAACCCTAAACTCGAAGTCAACTCTTAGACAGAACCCGAGCCCTCGCGAGGCGGCCTGCGTCTTCCCGGCGTCAAACCGCGGCACGTGAAGCCCTTGGAGCAAGTCCCTGGGCATTAGGGTTTAGGGTTTAGGGTTTAGGGTTTGGGGTTTAGGGTTTAGGGTTTAGGGTTTAGGGTTTGGGGTTTAGGGTTTAGGGTTGAAGGGTTTGGGGTTTGCCGTTGGGGTTTAGGGCTTTGCAGTCATGCGGGGGAGCATCAGGGTTGCTCCTAGAGTTCTTGTTGCACACTCGAGTTTAGGGTTGCGATACACCCGAATCCCCTATCATCCAGAAGCCCTGTGTGCTAAACCCCAAACCCTAACTTGGGGGCTGAGTAGGTAACCTTTAACCTTTTGGGGCTTATATAATCCTACTATAATTCGAAAGGTTAACCTTCTTTGGGCTAGGGTACTCAGCCCCAAACCCTAAAGCACTCAAGCCATGAGGCTTCGGGGCGAACACTCTCCTCCTGGTTTTCCTTCTGTTGCAGCTGCAGTATGGCTGATCGGGTCGATCGGATCCAAGTGTCAGCAAACTGACCGAGCTTGGCGCTTGTCAAGTAGGCCGAGGGCTTCGGCTGCTTCGGCTCGGGGTCCAATGACAACCTGGACGACCTTAGACCCTCCTTAGTCCTTCAGCCAAACTCCAAATCCTAATAGCACAGTACTCACGGTTTAGGGCTTAGCGTTTAGGGCTATCAAAACCCTAAAAGTACCCTTATGCCTAGATCGAGACTGTAGCGTTGAACCCGACGCTTGCGTGACGAGCGCTGGAATTCGAACATTAGACCAGGTCCGACGCCGACCCCAGAGAACCTAATCCCCCCTTAATTAGGGAATAGAGGCAAATCTTCAGATCAAGGGTTCAGGGCTTAGGGTTTATAGGGTCTAGGGTTTGTAGGGTTTAGGGTTTATAGGGTTTAAGGTTCATTATAGGGCTTATATTTTGGGTAAGGTACTATTCCTCACAACCCTTAGACTACCATCAACATCCCCATAAAGCCTTCAACAAAAAGTAGGCTCTCTGGGAATCGTCGACCTGTGGCGTCAAGTTGGCCAACCTGAAATGCATCCGTCGAGCATGTGCTGTCTAATATAGGGACTACGTAGAGTTTAGGGATTAGGGGTTTAGGTCTTAGGGTTTAGGGTTTAACTGGAAGGTGCACCATCAAGTTTACAATATGCTCGCTAGAAGTGCCGTATTCAACTTTGCTATCCTCCCGGGTCAAGCTCGAATCCCAAACCTCGGCAGCAATGTCACAACTGTGCAGCACCGCACTGTCTTGTATGACGTATGCATTATCTCATCCTTCAGCTCGAAACCCCAAACCCCTGATTCAATTATCGAAGATGGAGGCCTGGAAAATCCTGTCCGATTTCTGTCCTTCATACACCCATACCCTAATCGAGTACAAAAGCTCATGAAAATGGTTAAAAGGCGCCCCAAAAAACTGAGCAACCCTACACCCTAAACCCCTAAACCCC